TGTGTGTGTGTGTGTGTGTGTCGTGTGTGTGTGTGTGTGTGTGTGTGTGTGTGTGTGTGTGTGTGTGTGTGTGTGTGTGTGTGTGTGTGTGTGTGTGTGTGTGTGTGTTGTGTGTGTGTGTGTGTGTGTGTGTGTGTGTGTGTGTTCGTGCGTGTAACACGCGTGTCCTATTAAGCTGTTGTCACGCTGTGTCGGCATGGTATAGCATTAAAGCATCGTCGGCGCGTACCGCGGGTAAATACATCAGCTCAAGCCTAATATCAAAAATTATTGCCTAGCTCCAATGACGAGCATATAATATATTATATAGAATTGTTCATTCCTGCAACGGCAAAGTGTGCACGTTGTAACCGTGTGTATCGACGCACAAATGATGCAGAAATGTAATTTATTTTTAATTTTAGTCGAGCGCACGCGGGCAATTTTCGGTCACAACTTGCGGATCCATTCCAAGCTAATCTGGGCAAATAGGATGTCGAAAATCGGCAAAATGTTTTGTAGTTGTTTTAAACGATGACTATTCCCCCCACCAAAAAAATAAAGGCATTAATCAAATTTCATAGAATTCGGCAATTAGATTCAAGATGATTCAATAGATTTCAAAATTAAAATCGAGTATAGCTTATCAGTGGCTACCGCCGGATATAACCGCTTGTCATCGCATATGCTGTCGCCTGAGACTCAGATGCGCGACTACTAATAGCGGCGACTGTGATAAGTTTGATAGTTACACGCGTTTTTTTTCAAAATGGCGGCGCTCGCGGGCTTCTCGCTTTCTGAAGACTAACGTGACACGCGTGCGTGTGATGAGTTGTCCAGCGTAACTCAACAATCGCGGCGTAGTCCCATAGAACTGCGATCACAGCGATTAAGCGGAGGACACATTAGACGAATTTCGCGGCGATTTTAACAATCGCTGTGGTCGTGCGAATAAATCCGCAGTGTGTCACACGTATTACGGAGGGACGGCAGTGCGGTATATTCAGCCAGTATCACTCAGACCTTTTCACTGCTTAATATCATACAAGTTTTTATTTAAGCATTTGTGAAACCGATTCATCAATTTATCGGTCATAAGCGATCGGAATCGCTGACTGCTCGCAGGCGCAGTAAGAAGGACGCGAGGATATTCCCTATACACTGATACCGTTAGCGACTGCAGTTGGATCGCGTACGGAGGAGCAACGGTGAAATGGGGGAGGTTCGCACGATGTCACAGGTTTAAAAAAAAAGTTATTCCCCAGTTCTAGGTTAAGTTAAGTCGCAAAACAATTCCTAATTGTTTTACATTATTAAAATCCTCGTTTTAAAAATTTATCTGTTATTTCTCGGTTCACAGATAATTAAAATGGTTCAATCGTGCATCCCGGAGATGACCGTGTCGAGCCCCGTGAAAGATCTCCCGTGTGCGCTCCTACGGTGTTGACGAAGAAATGCCCGAGCTAATAAAAGCGCGTGAGCAGGTGACCTCTGGCGTGTGGGCAGCAGACGTAGGCCATCACCGTCGTCATCGCCCGGCGAAGCTATTTCATCGTCACGTCACTTAGTCGTGCATCATATATTCTCACTTGCACAAGCCCTCTTTGCGCAATTCGCGCACATCGTAAATACGACACTTCATCATGCGCAGAGTTGTGAATGGAACTGCGTCGGTTCTAATGCTCTAATGGTCGCAGTAGCCTACAACACGCACAGCCATATTGCGGCTGCTGCGAGAAAGCGCGTCTATATGCACGCGCCGACCCTAATTAACAAATCATCGCTAATTATTCACGCGCGCGCGTAAACATACGGAAACCGAAGACAAAACGCGCGGATATCACATACCGCGTCGCACGTCATTACAGTAATAATTACTAATTACAGCTGCCCAATAATGACGAGTCAGTAATTAGCTGTCCCACCAACAGCGTCAACATCAGCAACAATCGAGCAGGAAAATAGTGTCACTAGAGACGCTCGCAACAACATATTTACACTAGATGCGTATAAAAAATTACAAACGAATGAAATCGAAAGCACGTAAACACATTTATGTTATGTTAAATTGCGTTCCAGGGACTTTATGTACCCTTAATGAAATGCATAGTAGTATGTAGCACATCTCTATTTCTATAGTAATACAATATTACATTCTGTAATATTGTGCTGTAATATGATATTAGGCCTACAACCCGCAGAAACTAGTATCATCTACATACACTTGAGTACATGTTGTGTGCTGAATGTGGTATATATACCATAGCTAAACATACGTGTCGCCAATACATACAACGACAGAAGATGACTTGTAATTTGTAGTTAAAGTCAACCCTCTGATAGCGAATACCTCTATAGAACGGACACCTGTCTTTCTAGAAAAGACACGTTTGGCGTTTTTAGTAACAATTGCAGAGTGTGACAACTTCTATAGAACAAACACCTGTCTATAAAGGACACTTTTAGGGGTTTCCAAGAGTGGTCCTCATATACAGGGTTAAATTTATATCTATAGCCTGTATTGTAACTACAGTCTCTACGCTGGGTTTGAAGTATAGTAGTTATATAGTATCAAGAGCTAATTATACATGTATATATTATCAAGAGCTAATTATACATGTATATAGTATCAAGAGCTAATTATACATGTATATAGTATCAAGAGCTAATTATACATGTATAAGCCATAACCATCGCCGCCATATTGAGACCAGATAAGGGGGGGGGGGGTGATAAGTTGCCTATAATAAATTATAACACAGTTACGATAGTACTAGTCTGGGTTTTTGATCTATAATTCTCTTCACTAACATCGTACTTCAATTTACAGGTGCGTTTCTGTTTACAGAAACATTTACAAATATAATTGTGGTAATTTCGGATATTTTGCAATGTTTGTGTTAATGCAAAAACTAAAAACGCACGAGTGTTTAGTATATACTTTTGTATGTACTTTCCGTAGCGCGCCGCGGCCATTTTATCCCCCTTTTTCTATGACTTAAATAACACAGCTGGACTTTCCGATTTTCCTGGAGCTTCACTTATTTGTACGTTATGTAATTGCACAATATATCATTAGCTCTTGATAGTATGTGTAAATTCCCAGTGTAAGATCGATGTTTACCAAGCACGAGAAGAATGTGTGTCTTCAATAAATGAACGTGAGCGCGAGTGTTCTTTCGCGTATAATCACCACATAATACTGAAGCAGACGTTTATTGCATCACATCTACGGTAAAAATAAAACGGGGTTGTCGTTACACGCGTAGGCGTATAAATACAAAAGCAATAAATAATAAATATGTAAAGAATATTTTATTATAACAAGCACTTTTTTGCGCAGTTTGAAAGAAACAAAATTGCTAACTTCGTTAATCGTGTCACGCAACATATGACTTCGTAATATGACTTTTACCTTCAAGGAAAGTATATATATATATATATATATATATATATATATATATATATATATAAATAAATAAATAAATAAATAAATAAATATATATATATATATATATATATATTAATATATATAATAAATTAAATAAATATACGGTCGCTCGGTAATAAACGTAGACATCATAAACCAATATTTCGATTTAGTCTATAATGAATTCACATGGCTGCACCGCTCCTT